TTTTTTTTTTTTTTTTTTTTTTTTTTTTTTTTTTTTTTTTTTGTCGCTAGCCATTAAGGTGCTTGACCTCTTTGTTTCCGTCCAGTTCACCTTATTATGATTCTCAGCACGGTTTGCACCACGAAAGAGTAAAGCGCCACACCGCATACATTCCAGTTACATCACGTAAAAAGTTTCTCCCACAATATTGCGCATATATGGATAAACCGACAATTGTGATTGACAACGGTTCAGGTGAGGAATGTGCAGGAGACAGCTTTCCAAAAAGGGGCACCCGTGAAGTGGTGCTAAAAAGGCTGCCTAGTCTACTTTGTCCGCTTCTCCTGCTTAACCCTCTTCGTCTGCTTAAACCCCCACCCCTTCTCCGTAGGTTACATAAAAGCCGGATTGAACGCCTACGATGAGCCATCCATAGTGTTCCCCACAATAGTGGGTCTCCACCGAAACAGAGAAATGAAAGAAAGCTACGTCGGCGATGAAGCTATTTTCCGCGAACCTGATCTGTCATTTTACCGCCCAATCGACCATGGACACATATCGGATTGGGACCTGGCCCAAATTGCCTGGGAATATGCCCTCAGATGTGTGGACCGAAACAGGAGTATTGAAAACATCCTGCTCACAGAGCCACCTTTATGTTCAATCTCCCATAGAACAAAAATGGGAGAAATTTTTTTTGAGGATTTTGATTTCAAAAATATGAACATTTCAGTGTCGGGATTAATGTCTATATATGCCACGGGGTTAACAACTGGTCTGGTCTTAGACATAGGGGATGGAGTTACCCAGTGCATTCCCGTGTTTGATGGGTACATTGAAAAGAATTCGATCATACGTTCTGATTTTGGTGGAGAAGAACTAAGTATGTTTTTACAAAAATTAATTTGTGACATTGGATACAGTATGACCACAAGAAAAAATTTTGAATACGTTAAAATTATCAAAGAGACTTTATGTTTTTGCTCCTTAAATCCACCAAAGGATCAACTGAGAGAAGATTTAAGTGTCACTTATACTCTTCCAGATGGAGATGTTCTACGGGATGGATACGACTCCGTTGAAATATCACATGAACGTTTTTACGTTCCTGAGGCTCTGTTCAATCCACTTATTTGCCACAGAGATAGCCTCAGCATCGTAGACATTGTTTGGAAGTCCCTTTTATTGTGTCCCATTGAAAATAGGAAAACGCTGACTAGCTATATTGTTCTGTCCGGGGGATCTTCTCTTTTCCCTAACTTAGTGGAACGACTGGAGAGGGAGCTGAAGAATAATGCTCCGGAGAGTGCCAGATCGGCTGTTAAGGTAGATCAGACGTTCGAATTGGCTTTTTTTTTTTTTGCACCCGATGGCGGTCTTCATCACGAAGGCACATTGTAGATTAACATATTTTCCTGCATCCAAATGGTGTATCTTCGTGGACATTTCCTTTTGAATTACTCCCCATTTGACGCCGCTTTCCCCCCCCCTTTTTTTTTTTTTTTTTTTTTTTCTTTCTGCAATACAGGTCCACGCGCATGAAAATAGAGCTATTATGGCCTGGTGCGGAGCGCGCATTTTCTCTCAACCCGAGATGAGGCAGGCCCAGGAGGGCCTGTGGATATCTAAAGAAGAATACGAGGAAATCGGAAGTAACATTTTTTTGATAAAGGTAACGGGAAAAGATCAAAATTAAGCAAAACGGGCAAAAAAAAAAGAAATAAAGACGAACGAGGGGGACAAACTACGCACTTGCTTGTCCTTACGATTTGCACTTGAGAAGGTGCACCTTATTTCGTAACTATGATGGAGGGCTATGCCAGTATAGAGAGGACCCCCCTCCTCTAACACGTCTTCCTTTTTTTCGATCAATCTGATTCCTTCCCGGCGCAATTTCTCAAAACAAATGATGATCTCGAGCTATACATAGTTGTATGTGTTTATACAAAAATAATGTGCACACATATATCTTCCGTCCTTTCGATTTTTCAATGCCAGGCAACGCTGAAGCTTACATAAGACACTCCTCCCTCAGACCAAACCATACCGTACCAGACGAGTCTCTCTCTTTTTTTTTTTTTTTGTAGTTTTTCTGTTATTATGTAATAATTGCTACTTCTTTTTGTTTAGTATATTTTTTTTTTCTTTCTTTTTTTCGCTGCTATTTTTGATTTTTTCTTGCTGAAAAGGGGGGGAAAAAACGGGTGGCGACGTTTTATTCTGTGACGTGAGAGGACACAATTGCATATGACGAGGGAGAGAACTCCCTGTTGCTCCATTTTGGTGCGTCGATCGTTTTGATCGCAGCGATGGTGTGTTTCTCATTTTTCATTTTGTCATTCCCCCCTTTTATGAATCAGCAACCTGCTCCCGTATGATATTTTCGATCCTGTAATTATAGACCCCTCTCTGCGCCTTGGTTGAGACGAGGTGGTGTAGATTCTTCGCAGCGTTATGTATTTTCATGTCCTTCACGTTGTTGTCGTGTAGCTGTATAAAAAGGAAGAAAATTGTTTTTTATTTTTTCGTACACAGATTTGACTCACGAGGGCAGACCGAATGCCATCAATGCTGGTTCCGCTCAATTAATAAGTCGACAGCCTGCTTCTTTTCCTTACCAACTGTTTTTTTCTCTTCTCCTCAATCCCCTGAAGCATAATTCCCTTTTGTGCCTTTACCTGTAAATGTGAAAAATGTGCATCCGTTTGGTGCGTGTCCGCTGTTGGGGCGTTGCGCATAGACACGCCTTTCCCTCTTTCTCTTCCTCGTTCTCGTTCTCTGTCTCTTTTTTTTTTTTTTTTCTTTTGATGAGGGTGTTCTACATGTGCATCCAGTTCGATTATTTCCCTCTTGCGCATAAAGAAGTCATGAATGTATTTCCTGGAGTAGTATCCCCTGAAGCTGCCATTATCGAAAAAAAAAAAAAAAAAAAAAAAATGAGGAAGCAGTCACGTGTGTGTAAGATAGCGGATCGCATAAATTTGCACCCCTATAAGTTTTCCGCTCCTTTTTAGGCCCCTTTGTCCTGATTACACTTTCTGTATCTTGGTGGCATTGTCCGACATGTACAATGCGGCTTGCTGCTCCAGTCTGTGCTGCTTCAATTTTCTGAGCAAAAATTTACACGCCAGAATATTTATACCGTCCTTCGCGCGCTTCAGAAAATGTCTACCAAAGGGGGAGGAAAAAAAGAAGAGGTATAACCCCCCGCAGACCATTAAACATATATATATATATATACATATATATACGCACATAAAAATGATATAATAATTTATGTGCTTTGCGTGCGTGGCTACTTATAAACAAGGTAAGTCCGCCTGGTCAAATATCCTCTGTAGCACTTTTGTATGGTGATAGCGGCGAGGCGTTCCCTTCCGGCATTTTTCTCCTTATCCCTATTGTGAATGAGGACATCCAAATGAGTACACATTTGTCAACATTTACAAAATCAGCAGGAGTGACGAAAATGAACGAGCGGGTTTCAGATGTCCTCGCCATGTTTATAACCTTATAAGGGACTTATATTCTTTAGACAGCGTACTGTCCTGTGTGGCAAGCTTCACAAATTCCATTTCGTATTATTTTGCAGTAAGTTCAACACAAAAGGGGGGTTAACCCAGAAAACGGGGGAGGACACAAACGTGTGCAATTACAACGGCGAAAGCGCTCTATGCGTGCTGTGCAGTCGCGAGCCCCTGTACCAATGTGCACACTCACGGTGAACAAAAAAAAAAAAAAAAAAAAAATGATAACTCGACAAATATATGCCATGAGATGCAACGTCACACTATTTGGAACTAAAAAAAAAAGAACGTTGCGTGGCGTTTTTAATTTGTCAACGAGAGTACCCGGTCGGACGAACACATTACGGTGTCTACCTATCTGTGCGTCTCTCTCCATACATATGCCCCCATAATGCACGCACACACACACATACACAAAAAAAAAAAAAAAAAAAAAAAAAAAAAGGACAAGTGAATATCTACAAATCAATGGACGCATTCCCTGTAACTGAGACTGGGAATATATCGACGGGGGGAAGGACGAATGTCCAAATTTTAATAAAAATTTGTCAAAGAAATGTGCATCAAAAAAAAAGGGGGGGGAAAATCAAATGAGCCAACTAATGACAGCTAATCCGCTGATCGAGAGGAAGTTGCGGGGGGGAAGAAAATTCGTTTAGAAAGACCATTAGGGGAATCCTCTTCTAATGGGTCTCCACATGAATTGTTTTCTTCGAAATTAAATTGAACCAATGGGGGGAATATTAGAAAAGGCTCTTGCCATGTTACTTCAACAGGGTAAAAAAAAAAAAAATCCCACTTCAGCAATATATCACTTCTTCTTTTTCAAAATTTGCGACGCGAGCGAAGATTTCATCGCCAACTCGTTAAGTCGTTTCCGGCTGTACCTGGACAAAACTGAATTCCTATATGACGTGGTGGACATGCGGGAGCTACAATTCCGATGTATCAGCAAGCTGAGATTTTTTCTCTTTAAGGCTTCCTTGCTGTACTTGATGTCTTTCAAGCTATTTTGCAATTTATCTGCAAGGCGTTCACGCTCGTTAATTTCCTGTAGATTAAATTCCTTAACAGGATTGAAATCGGTTTCGTCGCTTTCTTGTCCACAGGCTCTTCTCCCTCTCGCGCCACTGCGCAAATTATCAGAGTCGTCACCACTGCTGCTGTGTACACTGTAATCTTCCTCACGTTCCACCAACTTAGGGCTGCTCGCAATGACCCCCCATGTTATGATGGGATCCTTATCAACACCTTTCCCGGCGAGTATCAGTGGAGTACGCATATATTCATAGCTGTTATTTCTTTCGAGTAAGTTGAACTTGCCCTGTTGGACCATCTGCTCCTCTTTGTCTTCTTTAATTTTTTCCATCAGTTTTAACTGCCTATTTTGAGCGCATTGTTTTATCTGTCTCTTCATGTCTTCATTATATTCGTGTGAAAATCTTGTGTTATCGTGACATACCTTTATATTACTCTTACTAGCATCATCCATTAAGCTAAGTTTTAAATTGGAAGAAAACATCATGCTGTTTAATTCATTTTCCGATTTGTTTGTATTCACTTGAAAACAATTTATTCCTTTCCTTGTGCACTCTTCGATGTACTCTACTCTTTTGTTGTGTTCCTTCCTCTTCATCAAAGAGTACATGTTCCTGTCCATATGTTTATTCTTCATATTTGTTAAGAGATACTCAAACGATTTGTTATCCTCCGAGGTGTACCTCTTCTGAAACTCTCTTAAATGCATGTTTAGGTTAATTTTGTGTTTTTTTCCATTCGCCAGAGTCACCCATTTGTAGTTTTTGTCTTCCACACAGAGTGCCTCGTCATGCCACCCACACTCCGACGGGGCTACATTCCTCTCACTGCATTGATCCGCTGGGTATAGCATCTCAACATATTTATGTCCCTCCTGCTCGGAGTAATAACCCCCATGAGGGTCACAACTCGGAGATGTATTTCTACCCATTTTCCCACCGCTTCTTGTTCCTTCGCGAGGTGAGTGCCCCTCATAGTTCATGATGGTACTTTTGCAACTTGGAGTAACATGATACAAATCCTTTTGAATCCTGTCCTCAATGGCTCCATCTTCCTTATATTTGTGTAAGTCAGGAAAAAACTTTTTTTCAATTAAAAACTCCAACACATTTAAATAATCCTCTTCCTCCAAAACAATGTGATTTTTGTTCCCTGTCCTGAAATTCCTCGCGTCATATTCAACAATTTCGTTGTTTTCGAAAATAGCGATTTTGTCTTGTTCATACTTTTGTATGGCATATTCATCACTGGTTTTTTTTTTTTTTTTTTTTTCTTCCTTCTTCTCCTTCCTGTTTTTACTTACAATTTTGTATTCATTTTGGTCCACTGGTAGAATTTTATTTTCTTCTGCGGAAAGTTGTTCCCCTTCCACGGGAGGGGACTTAACTGGAGGGTCCATCCCGCGGACCGGTCAGCTCGCACTGCGTGACAAGTCCGCGTAGGGAAACATATACACGTACATATGTGTGTATATATTTTGTTTCCCACGCGATTGCGTCACCTGAGAAGGCATTCTGGGCGAGCAAGCCAACGGGTGACATTTATATCTGCACGTCCATGTGCGCCTGAACGAGATAGTGCGCCCATTCCTCCATCCGTGCAGGCTGCCCATGCGACCTGCGCGTTGTGCCCTTCAGGTGGTCTTTGCCACTAAGCGGTGACCTTTATGCTGCTATTTCGTGTCGCTGTCCAGTTTTCCCTTACCGGCGCTGGTCAAATGACTCACGTGAGGGTGCACAAAGAGGGGGAGGTCATCACTCCTTTGGTCGATCTTCACCGACGAGAAATTCGCCAGTTGACCAAAGTGTCTCAGCTGCGAAGGCTTCGGACATGACACACTCGAAAGGCATCCGCACAGGTACACATATATACATACCTTTATATGCATTTGCTCAAGCGTGAACTCTTCAGAGGGCAGCTTTTGCGCTGTGTACCGCTAACCGGCCTTCGCTCTGTTCACGTGCTGTCCCTCTTCGTGATCACAAATGGGGAATTTTCCTCGGCGGGTCTTCAATTTTTTCCGACGTAACTCTCAAATGAGCCCACACAAGAAGCAGCTCTCTTGAGAGAAGTTAAATTGCTCATGGGCTACACTTCCGTTGATGTTTTTTTTTTTTTTCCCCTCCTCGCTCTTCAACTGTTCATTTGTTTAATTAAGGCTTTAGTCTGATACAAACCTTGGCGCGTAAAAAATGAAGCAATTAGGTGTGGCCGAAATATGAAAAAATTGACGCGCTGAGAGGAGAGGCCACAAAACGAACCATTCGCATCAGATCAAGAAGCGCAAAAAAAAAGGAAAATAAAATTTCCCCGCGGTTCACTAAACGCTTGCGAGACCACGACACGTAAAAATAATGTACACTTACCGGTGTACAGGTTTTTCTATTTTTTTTTTTTTTTTTTTTTTTCAATTTAATGCCTTTTCACAGCACGGTGGTAGGAGCCACCTATT